ATATTTTCTTTTATCCCTCTCTAACCCTCTTTTTAATCTCCCAAATGACCTGTCAATTTAAGTTTTGTTACTGTTTATAATAACGATAACAATGGCCTTAGTTATTTAATTAATTCTGCAAGTTTATTCTACAATGAAATTGAAATTGCAATTAAATAATATAACTGTGTGCTTACATTAACCAGTTTATGTGTTATCCAGCACATTAAATGTATTATTATTTATTATAACATTTTAATATAATTTATATTCTATAATTCCATAAATAATATTAAACGTCTATTACAAAGTATCAATTTTAATATATATGAAATATGTAATGTATAAGATTTTAATCATTTTAAATCTACGAAAACATGACAAGAATTCGATTTGCTTATATTAATTTCCGAATAGAATGTAATAAAATTAACCGAGAATTATTTTCATATCACTATACATTTTCAAACAAATACAATCTTTTTATAGCCAATTATTCTCACTTAGCACTTCTGAAATACATCATACGATAATTTAGGATTCAAAAATAATAAAATTATTATGCCATAATCTCCAAATATTAATTTGAAGAAATTGGACGCTTGCTGTACTCACATGTCTTGTCACGTTGCATGTACTTTGTATTCTTCTCTGTTCTTAAATTTACTTATTTTGTATTACGTGTGTGGAGTGATAATATCAACTTTTGTCAATAAGTAAATAAAACTTTTTTTTTACTTTAAATAATTTATATTCTTATATATCATTTTAAATATTTTAAACAATACACGCCGTGCATATTCGAACTAATATACTTAAATTAATACTACATTCAGTAAAAAAAAATGCAGTTAACATGAAACTTAATGCTAAAAATATAGATTTCTCATTACAAATATATAATATTAAAATACTATAGTCTTGTATTTAGTATATCAAATATTTTTCTTGGCCAAAATTCAAATTAAAAAATGTTAACTATAATTTTAATAATAGAATATATTTATAGCAATTAATGATTCAAAATGTTTTGAAATTTAATAATTTTATACCTAGAAAAATTATATATCTTTCTTTTAATTTGTTTTAAAAGATTTTAATGTTAATATAAATTAATAAAAACATCAAATAAGGCATACGGTTAAAAATTAAATAAATGTACGTTATATTTTTATAAACTATAATATCTATAGAACTATATGTACCTAATTATAACTAGTAACTCACTGAGCAGTAGCAGCACGTACCATTTTATTTTTCACATTCCAAATGGTTCTAAATATATTTATTACTTTCATATCTTTATAAATTTTTCAGCCTTTCCCAATGGTGTGAATGAATAATTTTGCAGGCTTAAAAGCTTAAAAAGATCTGAATAAGACGTGTACTTTGATACGTGTACGTCACCTCTCAAAAGACCGTTTTTATTGTTTTTCAATATTCGCAACAGATAATAAATTTTGAATAGTCATTTTTGTACGTCTGGAAAGATAGATAAATTGTATCTTATAGGGTGTAATGAAGAATATAGAGTACAAATTTTGAAAATAAATAAATAAAATAAATACGACCGACAGAAGACTGAGTATTAAAGATATACTATATGGTTAACCCTCGGTTGTTTAATCGTAATAATTCATTATTGCACCATGCACATTATTATAAATTAAAAAAAGGTACCTATTACATAAAATTACCAACTCTATTTTGGGTTTGTCATATTTATAAGGATTTTAGGTACTTGTTTGTTATCACCCTACCATAAATAAAATAAATTAAAAAATTATATATATTATTAATAATACAATAAATGCATAAATCAGTATATAGGTATTATATATATATATATATATATATATATTTGATCATAATTATAATAGAAATTGGAAGCCAGAACTCAGATATATCTTTTAAGATGGTTTCAAATACGCCTTGTTCTCCGAGACGTATTCTTCTCATAAATGTTTGCCAAATGCGATTCCATGAAATTTTCTTTTTGTTCTCCGACGCTAGAGTACCGTTATTGTTACTATAATCATCATATTTAGCTAAAAATGGGACAAAATTCTGTAGTCGATTGGAGTAATTATCTATATTATTATTAGCTATAATAAAAAATATATAAGACCAGGCTCAATAATTTTATCAAATTTTTGAAAAGCTTAAGCCTCAAAGTTAGTCAAACTCTCAAAACATCGAGAGGTTATAGGGTTCTACTAAACAAGGAAATAAAAAACGTCGGAAAACTAAAAGAAATTGTATGGAATCGTATTTGGCAAAAATGTATGAGTAAACAAATCTCGGAGAACAAAACGTATTTGAAACCATCTTAAAAGATTTAACTGAGTTCTAGCATCCAATCTCCATTATAACTATGATCAAATATATATATATATATATATATTATACCTATATACTTACTTACACATTTCTTGTATTATTAATAATATATGTATAATTCATTTATTTATTATATTATTTATTTTATTTATGGCGGAGCGATAACAAACAAGTATATCGGATTTTAATATAGATCTATAGGGTTAATACACATTAGAATATTAAGCTGCATATAAATTTCAAATAAAGATATAGATTACCTATCTATAATGCTGTTATAAAATCTAAAACCTATATAAAATATGGGAAATTAATTCAAACTTTTTTCGAACTTATGAAACACGTATGTTATAATATATATATATACTGAGAATTCTATACAAAGTCCCAAGTCACAAACGCAACAAAGTGCCATGTGATGGCGTACTATGGACTAAGATAGACTTATCTCTTAGTCCGTGGTGAAATGCCTATTTAGTTTATCATGATGCCAATATCACAGATCGCTGTCTATCATAAGAAAAAAAATAACAGTAATTTACATTCGATAACACCACCGGCTTATAATTTTAAGCAACAAGTGCTAAAACATTTAAATGTATAGTCCATGTAATATTATTATAGTAAAACTCGTTGCGTATACACTATACATAACTAAACAAATCTCAAACACATATTAAATAAGTATTTTGAGGATTTGAAGCGTTCCCGGAGTAAATCACAATCCATTGAACATTGCTTACACTCACGCTTCAGATGGTAACGATGAGGGGGACGTGATAACTAACGAGCGAGACTTGTCAACCAAGACGTATTGTACTGTCATAATGCTCTGCATACATATTGTGTAGAATACGATAAATACATATTATATGTATATTGTACATATTGTAAGACTAGAAAACTTAGACGATGATGAGAATTTCCGTACGTAGGTAGATTGTAGGTACGTCAGAAATAATTTTAGTCTAGCGTATCAACTACAATATATACTTGTTGCACAAGGCGACTCCAAAGTGGATAAAAAGTTGATGGAAAAAATCCGACAACATATTATATCTGTCGTTTAATGTATTAATCTATCAGTCAGAGTTTAAGAACACTTATAGTATGAGTATGCATATGGGCGTCTATAGGGGGAGGATAAGACGTAACACAACATAGTCATATTGACGACTTGGTAGCTATACAATATACGGCATATGTAACATTAATTGAAGATTAAACGTTTATTTATTTTATATTTTAAAACTTTTTTGACATATTTTGCCCCCTCTCCCTTAAAGTTGAATCAATGGTACCCATAAATATACATTAATCGTTTGGTCATTACTTTGTGAATTTACAGTTCTGGAAAAATCGCCTAACAATAATTTATATTTTATATACAAGATTACTATTATTCATTATTATGATTAAAGACCAGATTTTGTATAAAATGCATGTCGCTATTTTCAACATGATACACATGCAATCTATGATTGTCCACAAATCATTAATTGATTGATTAAGTATCAAAATTTTGTACTACATAATTTTGCATATTCTGATGTTAGTGTGCATATTCTGCATATTTTTGCATATTTTAACAAAAAACTATACAAATATACACTGAACGATCAAAAAAGGTGTTGAACAAAAAAAACAGATTATAGGTACGTTTATGTAATATCAAATATTTTACGTCTCAAAGAATAATCTTTGATAACTTATTGTTTTTCCAATTAATATACTAAATTAAACCGTATTTTTTTCTTATTTATATCACCAATGTATCTAATTTTTAATTTTAATGAAATATTTTTTTTATAATGTATTACCTAATGACTTAAAATTAGATTAAGATTTAACAAATTAAATTTTTGTATTGTATATTTGCTATATTATACATCTTATACTTTTGTTTATGAAAATTTAAATAAAAATACTCGTAATAAATAATTATCACTGCAAAATTAGAATCAAATATAAAATTTAGTAAAAATTTAAATTTTATTTTGCATGTTATGCATTTTTTTTTTTTGCATATTTTGACTTTTTTTAGTACATGTTTGCATGCATATTTTACAATTTAAAATGCATACAAATCCGGTTTTCAGTTATGATATTACATAATTATTTTCCGACTATCTATGTTCATATAGACATAGGTATCATAATTGTGAACAATCATTTTGCAGCTGTCACACTATAATCTATATATACGACGCAAACACAACATTATAACCATCAATAGTCCGACCATATACATAGCAAAGGCCAGAGGAAAAACCATGTAGAAAGGCAGAAACCGGGTGGGCTCACAAAAGCCCCTGGGATAATTAAAATACTCTCAAACCATATTTATATTATACGAGTATGTGTGTTTGTATGTGTGCCATACATTTATTATGAGTTTTTATAGCGCTCCGTGTCGTAGACGGTTTTAATTAGACAACAAACGACGACGGTGGCGAAAAAGACAAAATAATTATTGTATTCATAATAATCACGTACCTATATATGTATATGTGTTGAGTTTCTGTACGTTCGTTTGTGCCCTAAGGGCTGCGTAGAAAAATAGTAAAACAAAAAAAAAAATAATAATTAATGTAACAATCTTTTATTTAGACATATGTTTTTTTATTTTACTTTAAATATATACACAACACATAATAAATATTTATATATAATACAAATAGGCAAACGGAAGACTATTTACTAGACTTAAATAATCCGGAATCCTTCACGAACGCTCCTTTTATACTGCAAGCGCCCATCAAGTTGCTCATACATGGTTACACGGGTTACAAGGACTATGCACCAAATACTCAGCTCAGACCAGGTAACTGTAACTTTAACCTAATATAATATTTCTATTCATTTTTACACAGACAATCTGCATTTTATGTCAGTTTGTGTAAAACTACATAACGAATTGCGAAAGAAAAACGAAAAAAAATCTCCAGTATAAAAAATGAATTTATTATAATATTATATATAAGTGACTACTGCTTAAAAAATATTTAATAATGATTTAAATGTAAATAAAAATCGATAAAAAATATTAATAAAGCTCATCAATTAGATAAAGTTTTAAAAGGGACATGGAATTCGGGTTGGGATTTTTTTTTTAACCCACAAGACACAACTTTTTGAAATATAATATTGTAAAAAAATTGGGATATTGACGTCCCACTTTATTAAAAACGAGATTCGGGACACTAAAAAAAAAATCAAATTATAAATAGATTAGGAACCTTAAATAAAGTACCAATAATCAATATTGCTACAATGTTAGATGCTACAAATATTTTGCTCCAAGTGGTTGTAAAAAAATCGGGACTTTCTTGTCCTTCTCACTTTTAAGACGGAATACCGGACAAAAATTAAAAAATCGCATAAAAATCATAACATATTACGCATCCCGTCAAGAATTGAAGCGTAATGCGGGATAAGTATAATAAAAATCGAGAATGTCCCGTCAAATCGGGACGTATCTCAACTCTACATGGAATACTTAAGACAAAATTTTAATTAATAATTACAAGATAAATTATAGATTATTAACAAACAAAATCTTTTAAAATATGATGAAAAAAAATGGACAATAGGATACCACTCTGCTGTACGATACGTTTTGGGTGAGTCACTGTGATGGATACATTCAATTTTAAATCAATGATTTATCAAATAATTCTGACTAGAGATGTTACCTATCAGCCTACTATATGAATCGTACATAATTAATGTTATGGTTTTTAATATTGCTATAAAGTCATTTTATTACTGATAGTATATAGGTTGAAATTATTTTTTCCGGAAACGCTATATTTGAAAATATCATTGTGTATATAAATATATAATATTCATCAAAGTAGTATGTCCCCATGAGTAATTTTTTTTTAACTATAACAAAATAATAGTAATATCATTACTCATAATTCAAATATCGTATGCAATTTCATCCAAATTTTAACTTGAAAGATTTATAAAGAAATGGTGCTCATATATTTTTTAGATATTTTGATTTCTGTCTGAATAACTTATTTATGGTGAACTTTGTATTAAATTGTCTATGTTTTTATACAGCGAACATTTTTTTTATCAATATTTATATTGATAAAAAAATATATTTATATAATATTTATATTTATATTATTGGGCGAAATTCACTCATAAATATAATTTCAGATCTGAACTAAAATGTATAACTCTGTATTAGGCATCATAGAAAATAGTTAATAAATATATTAAATTGAAGTATTACTACTTGGCAGGTCGGAAATTTTTTTATCCATTTATTCGTTAAATCTCAAATCTTACACCCTCAGGTTTCAACACTGTACTAAGTAAACAAAAAAAACTATCAAAGCTTAACATATTAAATTTTTCTTTATAATATGTTTTATATTACTCAGTAATATATAATGATAATAAATTATGTTTAAACAAAATCAGAACAATTATATTATCTAAAATTGTATAAGATTTTATTATAATAGACAGGGAAAACAAATATATTTCTAATCTATGTACCTACATATTTCCTATAATACAGTAATAATAAACTATAATATTAATTATACCTAACTATTTTACCATGTATATTTACTTTAATTATTATTAAAATTATTAATTAAAAATAGATTGATTTTTATTGTAAGGACTTTTTTCCTAGTAAGAGGATTTTTTTCCATAAGATATTTTTCCAAAGAACTAGGTATGTATATAGATGTACGCAAACTCTAATTTCCGGCCTCAACTAAGATAGCTAATGCCCCAATATATGAATAATGCCCCTACGATGTATTTTTAATACATCAACATACATAAACTTATAGATTTAAAACTGAAATATTTTAATGCAATTAAAAATAATTATGTTGTTGAAGTAAAAAAAAATATAAAATTCAATTGACAGTTATATAGAAATTAAAAAACAAATAACGATAAAGTTTTAAAAAAACTTGGTTTAAAAACTAACAAACAAAACAATATTTAAATATAAATACATATATTTTTAAATTATATGAAAATAAAAAAAAAAAATTATTATTTCAATTTCCAAGGTTTCTGTGCAGTAATGTTTTTCTAATTTGTATAAACGCTATTTTTAATTGGTGTATTAATGTAACCTAATTGTATTTGACTTTATGATACTAGGTACATAATATAACGTATTTTAAACTTATTTAGAAGATACGTATACAATGTTAATAAAAAATATTATTCTAGAAAAAAAACTTTATAATATGGGCAACTAAAATTTCCATTTACATATTAATAGCCTTTTAATTTCTGTCTAGTTCAATTTGCAAAAATTCATTTAACTTCACATAATAACAAATTTTATCAACTAGCTCAACTTTGTATATTGAGCCAATGTTTAAGTTTTGGTAAGAATTTACTAAGTCACTTGACACGTCATATTAAAGTCATACACATTATCATCATAATTATGATACATTATTGTTGTATCACATCGGATATAGTGTTTTAGTATACTGTCAACAAAGGCATATTAAACGAGTAACGGGATTTGGTGAAAACCTTACCACATTAGATAAAATATGTCCCTGATTAAAAATAAATTGTACATTAACTAACGTATCATGTATCATCATCATTTTAACTTATAGGCACGTATAAGTATATATATATGTACACTTGAGTATAAACTTTATACTACTTTAAACGTAAATCCTATATTTCAAATTTTTACCACTCTAATTATTAAAATCTATATTGTTTATAATCGTAAACTACAACTATAGTGCTACTAAGATGAGACAAAACTAGCTTATTACGCCAAAATGGTCATCGCTATAACTACCTATAGATCTTCTTGGTGCGGCTAAGTAGCAATGTTAGAGCGAGTCTTGCATGAATTGAAAAGTAAATATAATAACATAAAAAATAATCTGTACAAAACACCATCTTCACAAAACAATGACTATTTTCATAGAATAACACAATTTATCATTAATGATTTTCATTAATTTATTGAACACGTAAAATAACGATATCATCAAACAATTTTTTTACATTTTATTTTAATTTAAAAATTATAATCTCAGGAAACTTGAAAACTTTATGCGTATATTACTATTTACTATATACCAACAGTTACTAAAGTGTAAGGCGCGGCTCCCTCGGGAGGCGCAAGCACTTAACAGGAGAGACGCGATATAAATATTTATATTGCAAATATACACTATATGTACTAATTTAGTACTATACACTCTAATAAAAATTTTTGTTTCATTTATTCAAGGGAGGCGTGATTGAATTTTTTTAATTTTTGAAGATACGTAAACTAAAAAAGTTTGGGAACCGCTGTTATATTCTATGAAAATTTTCAAAATATTTTGATTAATTTTAAGCTGTTGCATAATGCATGAAATTCAACCCACAATTTTACTTACTATAAAATATATAACTAAAATTAGCAATTAGTAATTACCATAATATAAATATAAATACGTATATCATACAATATACTTAATAATATAAATTGACAAACCATTTCCACTAAAAATTATCTTTTGTATACAAAGATTTATCGTTGAATTCAAATTAAACACAGCCATTACAGTGACTTACTCAATGATGAGGTAAACCTGATATCTACGTCTTACAACCATATAGCAAATCGGTTACCTACTTATTCACTTTTTAATTATTATTTTACATACCTACGCAAACCTTTTGATCCTGGTGTTTTCTACAATGTAGCTGCTTCAAAGTCTGATAATTTGCATAATATTACAAAACACGTGAAACTATACACTTTATAGGGTGTGGATTTATTCATGCATTCAATATTCATAAACTTAATGATAGTAACCTTGATAAAAACTAATTTCACATAGGTTAATATTTTAACACTAGTTAAAGTGTTAAACATATATTACATTATTTTTTAAATTTTTAACATATGTTTATTATCGTTATATATATTTATTTTATAAAAGTATAAATAACAAATTGTTATTTTTAATAATTCAGTTTTTTGTGTTAATGTTATATTATGCAGTATGACATTTTCTTTTAATATTCTTTTTCTTTTCGCTCAAACAATTAACATGAATTATTAAATCTAAATAAATCCTATTATTTTATTTGTGCATAATTGATAAATATAAAAATAGAATGTATTAAAGGCTTTTATTTTACAGATTATGTTAGTTGGAATCATATCACCTGATAACGCTTATAAACAACACATTTGGGAATAAGATCATTTTTTTTATCTATATAGATACGTACTCGACATAATTTAGATTTAGTTATTCTAAAACTAATTATTAATTATGATATCTATTGTTATAATTCTGCATTTTACCATATCAGCAAAGTTAAAAACACAAAATAACTTACTTTTAATTAAAATAAAATTCTAGTCCGCATACAAACTCGTTTAGGTATACCCTCGCGTGCTCCCGTAATAATAATATCATACACTCACTAATGAAACGTTAAATGTCAATTATTTCAGACATAATTAAACGTAATATGTATAGCTCTCAAGTTTCATTAAATTTAATTCTTAAATCATACGCTATATCATCCATCAGTAGTTAGATATTTTTATTAAGGGTCTTTTCGTACAATAATAACAATCTAGTATGATCAAACCAACAATTACAAATACAAATAATAAAACATCATAACTAGGTACACATCGTCCCACAACTTACGAGAGAATGAATCTGTACCTCGACCCCTCGAACGAAATATTTCCATGTTTACGCATCCCAATCCAACGCCTAACATTTACACGACCCACACGTAATATATATGATCGATCTAGATCTACAATAATCAGTTACGCAGTGACATTTTTATAGTCATCAGGAGTTCCTGAACAAGCGAATCAGGACCCCTGATCCAGTGTCACGGGTAATTAGGAACCTAAATTGAAGAATTTAAAGTGGCTTCAAAAAAAAAAGTTTAATTTATCTAAATTATAAAATTAATTTTCCTCATCTCACCAAACAATATGTGAAAAGAATAAATTTAAAGGACAACATATTCATTTACGCTTTAATGCATACGTGATACGTACCTATATCTTAGATGCCAAGACTTGGCACTGACTAGCTAAACATTTATAGTGAAATAAAAATGTATTTTTAAAGTAACTTTCTAACTCAACTAGTTGGTTTTAATTCATAAAACGAGTTGAATTTAATTCACATATCACGTACCTAATAATTAATTATAAATTATAACGCGTTAAAAACAAAAAGTAACTACACTCAGCCCAACAAAAAAACATATCAATTATGTACACTACCATAGTCCCATATCATCGAAACTGATTCTTCTATGGCATAGGGATGCGCAGAAGAACCGATTTTCATTCGGACCGTAGTCTGTTCTCTCGCTGGACAAATTATTGTTATTTTTGCAGTTTTATTTACTGTAAAAATCTCAAAACTGCGAGAACGCATAACTGCTGAATGATGCTTAAATAATAATTAATAACTTTTTGGTTTCTTAAGGTTTATAAACATCAAATTCTAATAAAAAAATTGTACATATGTATTTTTAAACTTTTAAATAAATATAAATATAAAGAAAAATTTATGTGGAAACTTGTATTAAAATTTCAAGAATTTTGACTAGATAAATTATTTTTTATCGACATATTTATAGAAATAAAACTAAGAAATTTTCAAATTTTAAGCATCTTTAAATAAGCTCAAAAAGAGTAAAAATATTTTTACAATTTATTTAGAGAAAATTTCAAATATCTACGATTATTTTTTTTCAAGATATACGAAAATATCAATATCGGTTTTATCAAAAAAATAAACGTCAAAATTCAGGTTTTTCTTTAATTTTCTTTTGATTTTGCAGATTGATTTATAAAGTAGAGGGAATGTTTTATTTTGAACTCTTTAAAGTACAAATTATATTCAATAAAATATTATTATTAAAAATAACAAAAAAAAATACAAGCAATCAATGTATTTAACAGTGGCGGCTCGTAAATAGGAGCGATGGAGCAATCGCCTCCCCTTCTAAAATTATCATTCATTACTAATTTATAAGTTTAATAACAATTCTAAATTGTTAATAATAATTAACTTGTTGTAACTTGTAATATGTTAATACATTTTAATTTTAATAAATAAAAAAAAAAAGTTTAATATCAAATTTCAAATTTATATTGTAGTATATTGTCAAAAATAAAAATTGTGTTTCCTATATTTACACTAATAAATATTATGAAAACATTTTCAGATAATGGGAGCTTAAAAATAAATCATTCAACATTGTAGCTTCTGAAAATCGATAACCAATGGGCAATAACAATTCGTAGCACACGAATTGCGTCCCGAAATCCATTTTCCACATGAATTGCGTCCCAACGATATTTATCGAGTACACGAGTTGCGTCCCAACGTTAAAACGTAATTTTCTTACAGACTTAAGACTGTCAAAAGCCCAGTATAACTATCGATAGGTTAAAAATATGGTTTTTGTCATTTTTTGTAATTATTAGAAATGGGTATGTAAATTAAATTAGTATTAAAAAATTTAATTAATATTTAAAAAATTATAAGACGTAAAAACGTAATTTTCCTTCCCGTATACAAACTAAAAGTATAATATGCTTAAAAGCAGTGGTATAGTGGAAAGTATACCCACTTCTCTGATTTTCCGTAAGTGCGTATACTTATAGAATAACACATGATACGCGGGTATACACGTATGGGAATGCATTTATTCTACAAACAGTGCAAATTACGACAGTACAAAACTGTAATTAGACATTAATATTATCTATTGCACAGTGCATGGTTAAATGTTATTTATATGGCGGGGGGGGGGGGCAAAGCCTCCCACGTTTTTATTTCAATCACATTTAAGCGTATACGTCTAAATTACGACTACATCACTGCTTAAAAGTTACCTTACCATTTGAAATAGAACTGGTAAAAAAATATAATTATAAAATAGTCGTATGGATAAAGTCAGACGCAACTCGTGTAGTTATTTAGATAAAGCCAGGCGCAATTTATGTACCTTCTTATATGGGCGTCCCTAGGGGAGGAGGGAAGACGGAGCATTTGCTTCCCCTAAAATTTTAAATTTGTTTCCTAATTGTAATAATTTAATGTTACACTGACGAAACATAATAATGTTCTATAAATAAAATGTATAATAATTATAATACCTAATTGTAATAATGACAAAACATGATAATGTACTACAAATAAAATGTATAAAAAAATCTTTATTCGTTTTTTTAATTAATTTTACCACCCCCCTCTAAAAAAATTCTAGGGACTCCCATGCTTCTTATCGATTTTTAAATATCGGGACGCAATTCGTGTGCCGGGACCTGCAAATGGCACATGCGATGCTTGGGCGATGTTAAAAGTCGCTTGTCATAATTATGATCGGAATACAAAAACTAAAAAGGGGGAACACATTAATAATACTGCCACTGGGGCGATGATTTTAATCGCCGGATGTGCACGGATTCCGAACTTGCGCGCGTGTTACTTTGTGCGGTCGTAACTCGTAATCAATTATTATTTCAATTTGGTATTTATTTTCAAAAATATACATTGAAATTATTTAGTTTATATTTTTATTTTTCTATAAAAAGGTATTGATAATTTAAAATATATATAATAATTTATAATATTTATTAAATGGATTTAATTAAATAACTATTATTAATATTATTCGTGTTCTATACTTTCCATAAAGAAGCAATTTTATATCACCTTCCCACTTTCAAAGCACGCGAGCCGCCACTAGTATTTAAAAAAAAAAACTATTAATAATTATAAGAATTTGGTTTCACGTTTTTAAAAAACCATCAATAGTCAAATCTTTTAATTATCACATAGATCTAAACGACCACTAAGCAACACAGGATAAGTCCTGTTAAAGCATATAGAACATTTTTATTTCCTCATAAACTATAAACATTTAACATGCTGCAGGTTATAGGCGCCAGTACCAAAATTTGTTTATAAATGTGGCTCGAATCACCACATGGCTAAGTTTTTATCGAGTTGGCTTATAATGCTTACATCGAATCATTCGTGATGAAACATATACCTACGTGTGTAATACGGTTTAAAGTTAGAAATATCGCGTACGGACTAACATGTTTGCTCAAAACAAAAAAAAATTTAGCAAGTCTTAAACAATTGTGTGTGTGGGGGGAGAGGGGCGCAAAGCATGCGTATCAGAGTATGAGTGATGACGAAAAATGTATCTAATATCTGTCCTTCGGTTGTTACTTACCAGCGTACTTTCAATACTCAAACTTGAACGTGATATCTGTTGACTACAAGGAACTAGTGCGGGAGCCGTGTTACCCGCAATCCGTGTACAACGTGCCACTAGTGAGCAAATGCACCACTATGCTCCTGAAACAGCTGTTCAAATTGCGAAAAGACCTGTCGTTTGACAACTTGCACTTGGTCGGTTTCAGCTTGGGCGCTCAAGTAGCTAGCCAAATCGGGCGGCAGATGAACGGCACGATCCAGCGGATAACCGGTACGTGTGGACTACGACGTGTGTTGCGTTCCCGCGTCAATATAACGCGCAACTACCACCACCACCACCACCCCCTTCCCCCCAAAAAAATCATAGGCCTATCGATCGGTTCGTGGTCTGGTTTGGGAAGCAAGGGTTCTAGACAGTGACGAACGAACAGTCGGTAGAATGAAACTAAAAGTAATTTAATACAGATGTTCCCAAACTACAGATCGCGTTATATTTTAAACATATGGTCATTAGTATCGAAAAAGCCAAAAACAAAAGTCATCAGAAAAAAAAGTTTGGCTCAATAATTGGAAATTCAAATTTCAATCCGCAATTTTGAAGAACTATACCTAACCTAACCTTCTAATCCTCGGCATCTCTCGACTCGTTATTATTTCTCGCCGTCGTTTCATCCCAACGTCAAACGTGTCGCAAACATCCAACTCGCAACAGGTACATTAGATGATATCGACATGGTACCCGCCATAATCAATAACAAATGATAATAACACGATACAATACTGCGTAATCCGACCAAATTCCTAAAAGTCTTCCGCGAGTCGAATTGGCGCGTATACCCGCCCAATTAGCGATACTGTTGATTAAAACAACATAATAATATTATCACATTCGTATACTTTATAACATTAAACGCGATTGCCCGAGACAACGTCCATATACGATTTAGAGAATATTTCAAAAAATTTCAGGGGGGGATTGAACTCCGTTATAAGACCCCCCCAGGCGCAGTCCTCAACTTGCCAATGCCTCTCGTAGCGGACAGTAAACGAGAAAGTGAATGAAACCACCCTTTCGTACATTACAGGTCTAGACCCAGCGAGACCGCTGTTCGGCAAGATTTTCAACACCGAAGTATTGAAAAAGTCAGACGCGCAATTCGTAGACGTGGTGCACAGTAACATGGGCGATAAGGGAAAAAAAGAACCACTCGGACACTTGGATTTTTACGCCAATGACGGATCCACTCAACCTGACTGCGGTAAAAGTAATTATACCTATTTATATTTTGTTTAGTGCACTTACACTAACTTGGACTATACACAGTACGCGTTATTAATATCTCAGAGAAGTCCGTGCCCGTTGTAAGAGCAGGGCCGGCGAGAACATTTGTGGGCCCCGGGGCTGATCAATTCCGGGCCCCTTTACTTATAGTTATTTCATATTTGACTAAGAATACTAAGATATACATAACACTTTAATACAGTAATCTAACCGATTAGACGATTACACAGATCGAACTCGCATTGAATGCGCGTATGTTTTGTTATCTTTGTGTGTACTGTTTCGTACTGTGTTGTGTATGTGATAAATGATAATATAGTAGCTACATGTAGCTGTTTAATTTTGAGCGATCGGACGCGAATGTTTACGGCTTAACTTGTAATTCTGAATTATATAACATATAATTTGTATAAAAATAATTTTTCTACTCAAAAAATTAGTAAAATTGACCTCCCGGGTCTAAAGGGCGTGTACGACTGTGCCTAAATATGCCCCAGAAAACGGGCCTGCCTGGAGGCTCGGGCCCCGGGGCTCTGGCCCCAACTGTCCCACCCTCACGCCGGCCCTGTGTAAGAGTGCGTTGTCCCTGTATTCATACACTGTATTTGTTGTTATTGTCTGAACACCAATTGATTTCTGTGAACTGTCCATAGATGCATCGTGCAGCCACGTACGAGCTGTTGATTATTTTGCCGAGTCAATAAACACCAACAATCCGTTTTGGGCTGTCAAATGCATAAGCTACGAATTTTACAAAAAAAACAGATATTGTAAATCGTTCAATAATTCACAATTAATAATTATGGGTGAACATGTGGACAGAAAGTGAGTGAACACGTGTGTAACAGCACACCTTATTATTAACTACCTATCCGTTACATCTTACAATGCGGAAAACGCAAATATGATAATGATTATTAATAATAGATGCAATGATAATTTAATGAAGGTTAATTTTGTTTTATAGCAACACCGGAATTTACTATTTTATAACAAACGGTCAATCGCCATTTTCACGAGGAAAGGATCCATATTATTTAAGCAACACTGATGTACAAAATTAAACTTTTTTTAGTCATAAGCGTTGAATATAAACATTTCTAAATCAATATTTTGTGCTGATTTCAAATCTGTTATTAGATTCTATCTATCACCTATAGTGTTTTACTCATAGTTATGTCATTTTTTATAAGTAAAACAAATACTTTGAAAAAAAAACTGCTAAATTAAATGTTTTAGCAATTTTATTTTACTTGAATTTTTAATGGTTAAAATTACAATTTAATTTGACAAAATAATTACCATACATTAATTTCATTAAAAAATGTAATGGTTTACAGATGTAAAAAACGTGAAATAAATTTTCTAATACACTTTTTATCAGGTACATCACGATAAAACATCTAGTAGTTGTCTACTAATATACTTTTATTCTAAAAACTTTGGTAACGAGCTTTCATTAACTGATGAAATTTTTCACTTTGTTCATTATACTTACCGCAACTAAGTTTTCCGAAAAAAAATTCTAGATGCGAATGTAAAAAATGAATTTTTAATACCATTCGATATCTTAGCTTATTATGCGTGTTCAATAATTTTAATTCTATCCATATATGTAAGTGCTTTGTGATTTCCCAAGAAGTTTTCACAAATCCATTAAAATGTTTACCATGCTCCTTGCTTAGGTACCTATATTAAAACAATAAGACGACGCACAAAATCAATGTCTTTTATAAGTTCTCTAATTTGAGGTCCGATAAATATTCCTTCCTTCAATTTAGCTGCACTTATATTAAAAATTTTTTCTTAAAGGACTTGAGGTAACGAAATCTTTCGGAATTTTTTTAACTACGGCTTTCACAACATTTTTCATTGAATACAGTTTTGTATGTAATGGAGGTAAAAATATATTTTATAAAAGTACTAAAGGAATTGATTGAACACTATTTATATCAGGCTCATTAAAAATTTGTCGATCTCAATCTTGTTTAATGTAAATGGTTTGCTGTATCACGACTACCTATCCCACTTGCACAAAAAACAACAGTATTTTGTAAACCCTCCTAACATACCCATAAACATACCAATAACTATTAGTTTTTAGATCACAGCAAATTTGCCGTTAATAATTACTGTGCTTAATAGCGCCAAATAATATTTTCATATTATCGTATAATTCTTTTAAATGCACTAAATGTGGAATTAGTATGCGTGGTTTTAAGTTACCGATGTTACCGTTGTACAATAAAACATCCTTCAAACTTTACCGTGAAGAATCTATAAACAACCCGAGACCCAGGGACCCTTCCCCTTAATTGCGTCACTGCTACTTATAGTATATGGTGCCCATGCTTTATCTTGGTCACCGAATGGGCAATCAAAGTATAACTGGTAAATTTTCAAATTATTTGTTATTTTTCGCCATTGTATTTTAGTAGCAACTGAGTCACACACGTGACAAAATTTATTAAGATGATTTTTACTCAGACAAAACATAACGTTTAATATAAAATAAAAATTAATACATACATAATTCATAATGAAACTCCGTTTGATTAACTACCACAAAATCACACAACACGTGCTTGTGTACTATATTTAATAAAGAGTTTATATTAATACCAACACAATATCATTAGAAAACGTCTATAAAGATATTAGCATTGATTATAGAATAATTAATGATAATAATATAAATTAAATTATATTTTAAAATAAATTTGGGAATAGGAAATACTTATATAATATACAATATAATACATAGGTATTTATAGGACAAACTTTAATCAATCTAATTTTAAAACCTGTACGTATTAGAATAAAATGGAAAATAAGATTTGAAATCAGCATAGAAAAATCTATTAACTTCAATTTGAATCATCTCTAATAAAATTTTATAGTAGACCAGAGCAATTAAGACAACTTATCAACCTTGATTAGACTCTTACCAACAACAATATGTTAAGTATTCCGAATCCAAAAACCCAGACATTAATATATTTTAATTATGTAACATTTAAATTTTAATATTGTAAATAAAATATATTTCAATTGCTATGTCTTAAAACATAAAAGTTATAAGATAACATCTAAAGGGTGTATAATTGAATAAGTATCTAATACATTTTGTAACTTTACAGTATTTAATTATTATAAAAGCAATAATTGTCCATTGTTACATCATCAATAAAATATTAAATATTAATAAATGATTGTTTGTCTCAGCCGATTTTTGTTTTAGAAATTGATCCTCTGTAAAAATCACAAATATATTAAATTCAGTTAAATATAAAAAAAATTGAATTTTTACCCATGGTTTTGATGAGTTGCCTTAGTTCCACTCAACACTATATAAGGAGATTGTGTTTGTTTTTGTTTAGATTGCAACATATTCAATGTACCAAGAGGTGTGTCAGTTGAACTCATTTGTTTCATAAGCTAAAAATAAAATTAATAACAATAAATTATTTAAATTTATAAATTAAAATTAAATGTATTATAATTATTTAATTACGGCTTCTTGTTCAGCTTTTTTTATACGTTTCTCTATTTTATTTTTGCCAGGACCCTTGCCGTGGAATTTATGTGACAAATACCTAATACATTTATAATTTGTGTTATTTTTATTTTTATTAATTTCTTATTATAATTTCAAATATTAATTTATACAAACCTAAATGCTTCTTTTTCACTTAATAAATGACCATCATCGTCAATGTAATCTAGTTTTATGTTTGGTTTGTAGCTGTCTTTTTCTCTAAACTCTACTGTAGGACCACTGTATCTGTCTCTTCTACTTAATTTATCATCCTCAGCTCTAAATTCATGAATATAATTAATTTGATTTAAAATTAACAAATTACTTATTTATAAATGTATTATTTAATAATTTATTTTAACATACTTAATGGAATTAACAAAATAATACAATATAACATAACTTACAAAAATGTTTTGTCTTCAATAGAATAATTTTTGGCTTGTAGATGAGCAAATCGCGAAGCAGATGGCCGAGCATTTTCTTCTTTTTCGATATACCCTTTACTCATAGCCAATCTTAAAGCACCAGCTACACCTTTACCCAAATCAGGTTCTGGTTCTAAAATCGGCTTGCTGTCAATTGTTTTTAGATCTATTAACTTTTTCTCTGAAATTAATAAATTTAATTAAAAAAGACACTTTAAAAAAAAAAAATAAAAAAATTAAATACCCATTTCTACTTCTCTCCACCCATCATTAGATTCATCAGAATTAACTGCATGTTCTTGTTTTACATTTTTTTTATCATAATCCTAAAACAAATATAAATTATAATTTGAAATAATTTTAGCCTAATATATATTGTATACAATATATCATAAACTACCATTAATGATTCATCTTCTTCTTCTTCTCTATTCCCAGCTTTGCCATAAGTTGGTATATCTCCAAGAGTTCTACAAAACTCAGCAGTAGAATTTAACACAATTGCACCTAATGCATTATCATTATATTCTGTTTTCTAAAAAAAAATTAAATGTACTATGCAATATTAAATTAATTGTTGAGTTTTAAACTCAATATTATTCATAAATTGTTAAATTATTGTATTTATACATCTATTTAATGAGATAATTAACAATACACTAGTCACTCGTTAATTCAAACCTCGATAATTCAAAAAACTCTATAAATCGAACTTAACACTTCTCCTAAGAAAACCTCTATAATTGAAAGAAAATACATGTATTCTAGTCCCCTCAATAATTCGAAATGTCTGTCGATAGAACACACTTTATAATTCAAATTTTCTTAAATGCATTTATATGCAAGTTCATATGTATATACAATGTACATACATATAAAGATTATGTACAATCTACTTGATGTACTCGTAATGAAACTAATAACGACAGTGGTTAAATATTATCGTAGTTTATAAAGTACCTTACCAACCTAATCTAAACTTTTGTCGAGATTAGATCAATTTTTGAGCAATCTGAAATGGACGAAAAATGATGCGATATAATTTTCAATGCTATCAGTAATTTAAACTACGCTATGGACCAAAGTGTGACTAGCAATTTATCACAAAAAAAAAATTAACAGATTTCTTTAATATATAAAATATAATAATATAATAAATAAATATCAATTAATAATTGTAAAATATAATAACAGATGTGTATGTATGTATAATAAATAAATGTCAAAATAAATGTAATATGTACATACACACAATAATTTTTCACCTCTCTTTAATTCAAATTAATTTTTTCTCCTCGACTATTCGAACACTCCTCGGTAAATCGAAAACCTCTATAAATCAAATTTTTAACTTGATTTCCTAAATTTTGAATTATCCAACAACTAATGTAGTAGCAAATAATAACATTATTCAGTAAAAAATACTTACAACCAATGTATCAACCAAGTCGCATTTTCTTTCAATTTTTTCTAACTGTTTTAATTTTCTTGCTTTTTTTAATGCTAATTGCAATCCCATATCATCATCTTCTTCATTTTCCATCTTCATATTATAGACATCTGTTGGCTGGTCTATTTAATATTTAAAATGTAGTTTTAGAATATTTATGAATTTTTTTTTTCCTTGGCTATTATTTTAGAAACTTAATAAATATGACTTATAATTTACAAGTAATAAAAACATAGCATATTGTATTAGTTACATTTTTAGATGGTTACCTAACCAAAAAAAAAAGACCAAAAATTTAATACAACACTAGTAGTGAATTCCAATTTGTATATGCACTTTGTCAAGTCACACAATATTAGTTGTATACATTTAATACTATAATATATTGAATATTATTACTTTTAATTTTTTTTTTTTGACAAAAACTAAATCATATGACAGTTGGTTGAATATTTAAGTATTTTATTCAAATAATTTCATGGAAAAAAAATACCTTAAAAGTAAAATGTAATATGGTTACCAATTGAACACCTATTTGATACTAACCATAACAATGTGATATATGTTATTCGTTATAATTGGCCATAATTGCACTGTCAATGTATGAATAATTTACTGTAATTGTACTGAATATGTAGCAAGTATTCGTAACTTTGGATTTTCAATCAATGTTTGATGTTCAACCACCCAGGTTTAATTAACACTAATTATGATTGATAACTAGATATTCAAATTCAGCTTTGAACTGTTAAATTTACTATTTTAAGCACTAAACATTCCCAGGGCACAAGAACCATTCTAACATAGCTAATTTGTCCATCCAAATTCAATTAACACCACTAATAATTGTATGACCAAAAGGATTACATCAAATGAAAGATAAAAATCAAATTTAATGTTAAAAAGCCATTTCCTTTAAAATAAGAAAGGTTTAAATACAATTGCATAAAGGTTATGATCAATAAATCTACATATGTCTATACATTCAATATAAATGAATCATTTAAAAATAAACATACCATGTAATATATCGTCAATATCATCAAGATCATCATTTTCTTTGGCATTATTATTTGCAAGCCGCAAAGATCTTTCCAATTTATCTGCATTCAACGGGTTCACTCTTAATTTTTTTTTCTTTAAAAAAATAACTTATTATGACAACTTATTATTTAAGTAAATTATTAAATTAATTTATCTTAACTTTTTTAAATTTAACACTCATCTCAGTATCATTATAATAATCAGATGCTAGTTTCAATTGAGTTGTATTTAAAGTTTCTTGATTCAAATTTTTTTTTAATTTTTCTTTTATACTTTCTCGTTTTACTTTGTATTCATCTACACCTAAAAGAAATTAATATACAAAATTAATAATAAATAATTATATTTGATAGTTATATTACAAATTGTTCAACTTTTAACTGAACCTAATCAAACTTGGGTGATTATGATTCTATTTAGCTTAAAAACAAATTGAAAATTAAAAATATTCTAACCCAACCAAATACTATATTTTAGTTGAAAAACTGAACTAATGAATTTGATAAGTGTACTAAATTTGTCAGAGAACGATAAAATTATAAAAAATAATTATTGTCAGAAATTTAAAGTAATTTTAATAATTTATTTATAGTACTTGTGTTTTTACTACAATTTTATCAAAATTACATTTTTTGGAATACTTTAGAATTTTTTCAAAGTATGGTTAAATTAATGTAAATTTTAAAATTAATTTTGATTGAGATAAAAAAAAAAAAAATGAATTGGTTAAATTTAAAAAAAAATGTTGACCAAAATTTAGTTGGATTTACATTAAACATAACAACACTTATTAGTTATTTTTGTTAAACTAATAATGTTTATAACATAAATTTGATAACATACCAAGTTTAAAACTTTTTTTTTTCAATCCCTCAATTTCTTCATCATATTTTCCAAGGACCACGCTTGGGTTATCAACATCCATGTCTTCTAACTCATCATAACCACTATAATTTAGACGTTGCTTTCGTCTATCAATATTCTACACAAAAAATTTACATAATATATTTTTATAATAGCTGTGTGTACAAATATACAATGTAATTAAACATTATATTATTACTTGTTTATATGTTTCGTTATCAACCATATTAACATTGACCAAAACATCCGCATCTTCTGTTAAAACATCTTTATCTTTTAATGTTAAAATAACGTCTTTTCCTTCAACAAATTCATCCTAAACAATAAATAAAATTTAGATAATTAAATAAAAATAAATTACAAAAGTTTTGCGTTTATACCATTGAATGTTGAACTTCTAATCCCTTTAAATGTTTACTAGAATAAAAATTCTTCATTTCACTTTTAGTGCTTTCTTCTATGAGATCACCAACACCAAATACATTGTCCATTTCTTCCAATTCTTGGGCCTTTTGACAAAACAAAAACATTGCTGAAAAATCAGTCCAAACAACATAATAGTAAAATAACTCAAGTATTAATTAAAAAAAAAATCTAATCAGTCACCTTTTTCTTTGCTTTTTCCATTTCTTCTTGAATTGTTTTTGTTTTTTTCACCCAACTAACAGCATCTTCTTCTGAATCACTATCTGCTAACTTTTTAACATTTAATATTTTGTTTTCGATCAAACGTTTTTCTTTTTTCTCAGCTATTCTTGCTTTAATTTTATCGCTTTTATTTTTTTCTGTTAAGCTTACTAAATAATTAGAAAAACAAATAGTTAATAAAAACTATTAACACTTTTTAAATTTAAATTGTTCATTACCTGCTGGTTTATGAACAAATTCTCCTTCATCACCAGCAATAACTTCTAAACCGTCATCTCTACTTTTAGTAGTCTCTTTATTATCCATCTGCAATGGCTTAAGACCTAATTTAGCTCTAATTTTATTTGTTTCATCAATAGATAGACTGTCTGATGCTGATGATATAGAAGGAGGAGGTGGTGGTGTAAGACTAGGAGATGGTGGAGTACGAGCCTCATTTCGAGAGATTTTTGGAGGCGGTGGTACAAAAATAACATCATCATCTAAAATTATAAAATAAAGCAAAATTATTATGTATATCTAAAAATAAATGAAATTAATTTAAGCAATTTCAAATTAATCATGTAATAAAATGCACAACTTTTCATAAAAAATATTTCAAGAAGATATTATTTTTTTTTACTATTCTCAATAATAAATTATAATATGTATATAACATATTATATTCAGTAACACATATTTTTCTTATTATTTTTTTTTTAAATATAATGTAACTACCAGTCATTAGTATATGAGATTATATAGGTACATTAACTATTATTTTACTTGTTCTATATTATTTGATACTAATTGGTACCAAATTTATAAACCAAAATTAAATTATTAATTAAGAAAACAATTAAATTTTTAAATTATGAAATCATTATTTAGTTGCTCTAGTGGACATTAACAAAACTTGCCTGAACTGTGGTACTTGGCATGTTTATCCTTTGGCTTATCTTTTTTCTTATGATGTTTCTTGTGTTTTTTATGTTTATTGGAGACATCGACATCCGATAAATCACTAGATGGGTGTCTTCTTTTCCTGTGTTTGGACGATAAGTCACCGTCCGACGAATCGCTGGAATGATGTCGTTTCTTCCTGTCCTTCTTTTTATGTTTAGATGACCCCATTGTAGTGAACAGGAACTATATAATAAATACCAATTATATGATTCGCAGAACGTTTAAAATAAATAAAAACGTTGAGAATACGTCTATATGATCGCTTCGTCTTTATTCTTTCACATTAATTTTATCGTTTAACGTTTAACATCGTTTACAATATTATATAGTAAGAAGTACTCCTATTTAGTATTAATCTCTTTTATGTTTACAAAATCTTGGTTGTTCAACAACCGTGATAATATTTTTCATCATGGAAGAATCACTTTTATGATATATCCACAGATATATCATAGATCAGACTTCCTATACAACACTGCAGGAGGGCATGAATAACGCCGCCATGTGCAAAGCTGGCAATGTTTACATAAATTGTAATGATAACGTTTATTGATAACGTTTTAACGTAATTTGAATTTTGAAATATTAAAATAATGAATTTGGTTTTTGTATAAATATAGTAAATTTGAAATTATTATTATTATTTTTAACCACTATGTGATGTTAACTGATTTCTGGAAATTACAACTGATCTCGTGGCCTAGTCGAAATTATAACTTTAATCTGCTTTAGTCTAAACAAAATACAAAAATTTGTATAAAAAAGTGAGTTGCTTTTTAAAAATTCAATACATATCAGTAACTGACATCAATACTTTTAACTAAAATTTAAATACTTAAAACATTGACTTTCAAATGTAATTAATATTATAAATATCCCAGTAAACAACATTTCATGTGTGACATTGGGTATAATTGCATAAACATAAATAATAATGCAGTTTAACAAAATGTTAATACTTAAAAACAAATATCAAATACAAAGTTTCTATTTAATTCAATACAAAAATTGTAGTATTATAACTTGTACGGTAGACATATTATTATATATTTGTACAATTAAACTTTACAAAAAATGAAAATATAATTATATTTATATTATATCATAGAAAAACATCATTATTAATAGTTATTAATGTACAACATGAATAATAATAAAAACTAAATTAACATGATAAACTACAAATTTAAACAAAAAGATACAATATATAAACACAATTAAAAGAATAATATACAACATTTAACTATAAGGCTTAGAATAATAAATAATTTAATAAAATTCATAGACAAATAAATAATTAAAGTGCATTATTGATGTGAAAATAATATTTGTTTATATAAATTCTTTTATTATCTTACTATAACGTCTACCTTTTGAATCGATATTTTGATTTTTATGAATGTTGGAAAATAATTCTTGAGAGAGTCCTCCAAATTTGTCTAACATAAGTTCTTCAGATTCCATGTTTAATACTTTTTGTCTTTAAGTAACTTTAAAAGACCTGCTAAAGCATTAATTTTAATATATTTACGTCTGATTTGTTGCTTTAATAATTTAATTGTGTTAGCTTGCTTTATTATTTTATTTTTAAGTACTAATTTTGAAGGAGTGGAGAGTAATGAAGATTTTTCTTCAGCACTTTTAAAACACAAATTTCTTTTTGGAGTAGGACATAATGGTTCATCTTGAACTGATGTAGAGAACTCTGTAGTAGTTAATTGACTTGAAGTTGGTTCACAAATTTCTGAGCGATATATTTTGATTGGTGTTTGAATAACAGTAATGTTGAATATTGATGGTACAGCATCATCACACAATAACAATTTATAGGTACCACCAACTGAAGTTTTAAAATCACTTTTCAAAAAATGATTGTTACACAATCGTGAATTTTTTGATGGAATAAAGCCCTTTCGTCCAACAGCTTTTATCCACTTAGCATTGCACTCAGGATTTCGTAATGGAAATCTGTAAAAGAGCAGTTGTCTGTGATTAATAGTTGGAACAACGTAATTTATTTTGATATATTTTTAGTGTCTTGTTTGTCTGTTTACACAGCCATGTGCAGAACACGATGCTACCATATTTAAATAAATTTAAAAAGTAATTATTAAAGTTTATTAAATTATTTATAGCTCATAAAGTCATAACATTACAAATTAATGCGTACTGAAAATGACAGTTTCACAAAAACGAGACGAGTAAAAGCATAATATGAGTATATGACATTTTGAAATGTTTGTGGCTTTGTGCCGTTTGTGGTTATTACATAGACCTTATGGCTTATGTCTATTGATTATAGAATAGACAGATAGAGAATGGTATAGGGATTTTCGGTGACTACAATTTTATTTATAATAGCTGCCAGTAGGTAGCGTTGTATGAATTTATATTAAATTATTAATACTGAGTAGTGAGTACTGACGGCAAATAGTAATTAATATAATATTAATATAATATTTAACCTAACCTTGGCGGGGTTGGGTGGTGCGGTCATAGCTATCCTCTTAGCAGTGTTGTCATTTCTGATAACATAAAATATGTTTATTTATTTATATTATTAAGATTTTAATGTAGTAACATAATTATTAGGACTCGGGATTATGCATTTGCAAATTTCAAATTTGCAAAACATTTGTCTGGAAAGAAAATAGAATAAATCTGATTCATTATAAATTTGTTTTGTGGTGTCTGGATTTGAAATTTAAAAGTTTTATGCACATATTTAAGCATACCTACCTATTTCCAACTTTTTTCCTATATATGCATATTTTTTAATTATTTACATAATAAATTAAATTTGTATATGTATAAAAATTATTGATACATTTATGAAATTCAATTTTCTGTGAAAGTATTTGTTTTTAAGGACAGCATTTAAACTAATGAAACTTAAAGACAAAAACCATTATAAATATATTATACCTAACCAAAGTAAAATAAGTTAACGGTGATAGATTTTTTGATATTTAAAGCATACTCATGATTTATGTCTTCTATAAATTGTGAATAACTCACCTTAACACACATTTTATATTGTTGGATGCTTAAATATGTACATATATTTTTGATTTTAAGCACATAGTCCCAAATCCCAAGCCCTATTAATTATTATAAAAAATAGTCTAGACTTAATACATATTTATCAGTAGTCTAACGCAAGTTATAATTTTAAGTGGTGTAGGTATAGTTAGACTAAAATATAATCCATGTATTATAGCTACACAGGTATGAGGTATTTGATTGTAAGAAATTGTAGCGTTATTCGATTTTGATATTTCAAAAATACATATTTTTATTAAAAGTTTAAATGCTTATTTATAGAAAATGTAAATTCATACAATTTACATAAAGGTAGTCATTGTTAATACACGGGATAATAACAGTATAATATTATTATAGTATTAAAAAGTAAAAACAATTCACAAATTCACAATTGAGTATTGACAAACAAGCAAACAAATAACAACGTCTGACAAGTGATAACTATTCAAATGTTATTGATTGTTGACATTTTATTATCACGATACTATTGATAATACGATACGATAATAATAAGAGTTTTATGCGCAACCTGGTTTGTCCTATACACATGCGCAGAAGTATGGAACAACATGTGCACATAAATAACATAAATAGATATTTTTATTAATATAAATGTACTTCTAGGCTAAAGGCTTGTTATTCTAATTTAAGTTCCATAATATCCTTTTCTATATTTATTTCACGTACTTTGAGTGGGGCGAGGTGCAGGAGCGGGAGCGTCTGTTACATGACTTATAATTTATATGTGTATTATATGACGTGTGTTCAATAGTAGGAATGCATGCAGCTATGGCACGTTGCCCAATTGGCGGCTAGTGGCTACTGCTCAAACCCCGAAATCCGTACCCTAAACGGCCTAAACACTTTAATTCTATTATACTAAAACTAAACAGTCATGATTTATGAGTACTTTTAAACAGTGAATTGAGATTTTACGTCCAAGTAATAATCTATGACAAACATTTTTATTTTGTCTTTATTCAAGTTTTCAATGATTGTGACTTGTATGGTCTCCACTCGCTAAATAGTTGTCTGCTTTGTGATTGTTAAGCACTTAAACATCTCGAACTCGTCTTCAGGTTTCAATTACTGTATTATTCATTTTTTTTGTAATAGTGCGTTTTGTGTTACACATTCGATTTCATTTCCATTTTTATTGATTACGCGGATTATAGTGTCAACAAGTTTTAACCTATTGGCTATTATATTTATTAAATGTTTTCGAATACCTATTGTTGATGCTTATCGTATAGTGTAAATTATTTAGTATTTAAATTTAAATTATTATTCATCGTGTTTCGTGAATTCAACACTATGGAAATGTTAAACCACGACGTTTTACCCTACACTAATGATTTATATTATACCGATTGTTTTCAAAAAAATGAAATAATGGGTGAGGTATATATTGCGTTTGCAAAATTACCTACTGCTGCGGATAAATTCTTGTATACATATAACATCCTTAAAAAATATAATAAATTACCTATGGAGTGTAAATTGACAAATCCCAAATGTAACAAAAAAGCTCGATTAATCAGAGCAGATGCAAATGTAAAATTTCAAAACAAGGACTATATCTCCGCTTTTTGTGAATACAATAAATGTGTTATGACTGCAAAAATTGATAGCAAAGACTTTGTGTTTGCTCTGGCAAATCGTTCAGCTGCTCTCTATTATTTAGAAGAATATGAGGCTTGTATTCATGACATTCACCAAGCTTTAGCAAAAAATTATCCTATTGAACTAGCCTACAAGTTATATGAAAGAGAAGTAAAATGTCTACAACTTATGGGGAAAACTTCACAAGCCAAATTAAAATTTAAAGCAAGTATACTAAAAACTATTACAAGTTATAATACTAAGTATTTTTTTTTTTCAAGGAACTTTTGTATCATTTATCTCGAGCTTCGCTGTCTAAAGAAAATAAAAAAGATATTGAAATGCAAATTAAAAGGCTTTTGAAAGAAACCAATAAAAAAGATACAAATAATCAACTAAATTTAATTAAATTATTAGGAGGTCCAAACAGAAATATTCCAGCATTGTCCAAATTTGTCAAAATGAAATATTCAGAATCAATGGGCAGATGTTTGGTTGTTTCATCTGATATTAATCCAGGTAAATGACTAAATGAATATATGACAAATTAGCAGGTAACTGATTAACCTTTACAGCAAACTAGCTAAGTTGTTTGAAGAGAACTTAAATTATTTAATAAATTATTAGCTATTGTTGAAAATTTAAGATACGTTTACCTAATTCTAATATCTTACATTGTTCATATTTATTGATGGATCTTCTTCAAACTCCAGATTTTTAAGTAGCTTCTTACAACTCCTAGTTCATTATTGAAATAAAAATAAATATTTTTTTAATATTAAAATATAATTAAAATAATTAAATATAATATAACTAAACAAATAAATTTTAATTCCTAAACATTTAAAATGTTGATAAATAGAGTGAAGTAACATTACAAGGAATTTTCACTTATGTCTATTTTTTTTTTTATTTATTAATAAAACCATAAGTTTAATTTGATAAATAATCTAATTATATTTTAGGAGATGTTCTTGCTATTGAAAAACCTTATGCAGGAGTACTCAGACGAGAATCCTATGAATATAACTGCCAAAACTGTTTTAAACGTTGTTTGAATGGCATACCTTGTTTAAAATGTACTTTGGTAAGAATTTATGATATTTACATTATAACTACTAAAAAAAATGAATTATTAATTGGTCTTTTTTTTCAAAATTATTCAAAACATATATATTTATATGTATATTAATTGCCATATTTGAAAAATAAATATGATTATTGCTAACAAAATTATTAAATATGTATATTGTTCAACAGGTAATTTACTGTAATGAAACTTGTAGAGTAAAATCTTATGAGAATGGTCATAAATATGAATGTTCTATATTTTCAACATTTAATAATTGGCCAAGTATGGATCACATGGAACATTTATCACTTTACATATTCTTAAAATCCATTTGTAACTTAGGATTGGATAAGTATATTGCTACTGTACTTGCTTTGAATGCTGAAACTAGTGATCCGATGATGCGAGGTTTTAATAATGGCAAATATTTATCTGACCAATTTTGTTCTGTATACACTTTGGAAGGAAATGAAACTAAAAGAACTGTGAGTGATCTATTTTTAAGAAATTGTTATGCTGCTAGTATGGTTTCGATTATGAAATTAGCGGGCTTACAAATACCGGATCATCAACTAGGTACTGTTGGTGAATCATTAGTTCATATAATATGTGCTGTTTCCTCTAATGCTCATGGTATAACACAACCCCCAAATCATAAGACATGGAGTCTTATACATGAAAATAAATTTATGCCAGTTGCTTCTTTGTTAATGCCAGTGTTGAGCTTGTTAAATCATCATTGTGATCCTAACGTAGTAAGACACAACTACAATGGAACTATAGTCCTCACAGCAATTCAACCTATTTCTAAAAACTCGCAGGTAATAATTTTATAATCATTACTGAAGTATAAAAATTGTTTAAAAATTTGTATGGTTTTAATTTAAATTATATTTGTAAAAATTATACCCATATCCAATTATATATTGTACATTTCTTTTTACTACATTATTTTTGTATTTAATCAATTTTAAACTATTTAGATTTGATTTTTAGTAGGTACTTATTTAAGCATGTTAACCTAACATTACTAATATCTTTTTATTTTTAGATTTTTGATAACTACGGATTATTGTATGCTACACATCCAAAAGAAACTAGACAACAAATACTTAAAAAGCAATATTGTTTTCATTGTGAATGTTCATCCTGTGAAGACAATTGGCCAATGTATAATGTATTATCCAATCAACCGCAATCAGAGTAAGAAATAATATTTATCTTGATTTACCTATTGGGTTATACTTTCAATTATTTAATTTCCTTACAGATATATAATATTTACTGACATCAGTTCACACTTAATAGAAAAATCATCGATTAAATTGTACGAAATAATTAACAAAATTAAAACAAATGAATGTGATGGTCTCCAATACATTCAGTTCTTGTACTCTCATTTAAAACTTCTTTACAATAATATAAAAAGACCAATAGGCGAGTATTGTGACTGCCAGGAAACTATTAAAGAAATTCTCTATTGGACAGCCAATAAGTTTATTATTGAAGATTATTAAGTTATTATAAATACAATGGTTGAGTATTTTTTATAAATAAAGAAAATTTTAACTTATATGTAATAACCAAGAATAAAGAAGTTTTATTTTTATAAACGTTGAGATTGAATATTATTTTATTATAAACAAAATTTTAACTTTTGATATGACAAATCAAAAACTTGTTTAAACCATTATTGGCATTGTTAGAATTATTCACATTTAATTTCTTAAACTTTTAAATAAAGTATAAAAATTGTAGTGTTCATAACAGGCATAAGAATATTATTAATACATAATAAAACTTATTTTATTATCAGGTCATGAAATTGTTTACAAAAATATTCATTGTAGTATTATATACACAAAAAAAAAGTTTTATTTCATTGTGCAAAGAAAATTATTTATGACACAAGAAATATGTTGATCTTTGTTTGATTTATTTTGTATCAAAATTATTTTATTTACAGTTTAAAAAAAAAATAAGGAAATTTCTTAATTCCTGAAGACAAGTTTTGCATTCAATTTGCATTGGATTCCTCATTTGGATTGTCTTCAGCAAGACTATCGTCATCTCCAGAGTCTGTGCTATGTTCGTGTAAAAGCACATACTCTCTAGAACTGAACCCAAACTTAATGACGTCTTTCTCCATCAATTCCACATACTTTTTTGAATCTATACGCTGATTATTAACATAAGTGCCATTAGCCGATTCTAGATCAATAATATATGGCCGAATACATCTAACATGGCGTCCATCTTTTTTGGCTGAAATTAACCTGTATTGAAGAGCTGCGTGCTGTTTTGAGCATGACGGATGATCTATTGGTATATCTGCCACCTTTCGATCACGTCCGAGTAAATATCCACTTTGCCTGTGTATGTGTAACACGGGTAATTGTTTCTCTCCTTTAAATGGGTATAATCGCCAACGTCGTTTAGGTTTTCTCGCCTCAGCTGGCTCGCTATACTTTATAACTACACCATTAAAAGTATTTGTATCCTCGGCTAATTTGCCAGTAGTTTGAAAATTTGGTTCTTCTTTTTTTACTACTGGTTTCTTATCACTAGATGAGTCTTTGGTTCCCCATTGGTGATCGGAATCTAAATTGCTATGATGCCTTGAGTTGTCCCTGTTATCATTCCTCGGTCTTTTTCTACGATCATCATCGGAATTTGAATTATGTCTTCGGTGTTGTCGTTCAGGTGATTTATTATCACGATACTTGTATGGCTTTCGGCGGTCATAATTGCCCTCTCTAAAATAAAAAAGTTAAAATTCATTAATTGTAATTTTAAAGTTTATCTAGAAATTTTGGACCATTTGAACATTTGATGACCAAGAGAAAAGCAGTTAAACGATATTTTATACACTCTGGTAAGAGCCAAGATACTAAGATTTTTATTAAAATCACAAATACAATTTCAAGTTTGAAATTTGTTATAAAAAACCATCATAATTCACAAGTGCTACATAGACTGGTGATGTAAAATACGACGTGACGTTAATCTATTATTATTCATTACCTTGTTTTAGTGTTAAAAACCGAATAAATAAATACATGAAAAAAAAATAATACAATAGGGAAACTAACAGTTATAAGTGAGGAATAATAAGTAACTACCTAAAAAATAATCTTACTTGAAAAACGTCAAAAAAATGCGGAAGTCTTTAAAAATGGTACCAACAAATATTCAAGATAATATTACGAAGTCTGACACTCAAAAATGTTGATGGATGAGATACGACATTCACTATCACGAATTGTCTGTGACTATGTCCGTATCGTATTATATAGTCGGTCAATTTTCAGATTATTGTTTTATTTTGTACGACTCCAATTCCTAATAATAATAGTAGTTATTTTAGACATGATAATATGTGCGTGTCAATTTATTATTTAAATTAAGTTAGGCACTTATATAATAGTAAATAAATAATAAAAAATAATTTTTACTGAACTGATTTCCAATACTATACCAATCAACCCTGAATTTGATTTCAGTTATCAAATTTTATTAATTGAAATGATGCTAATGACAATTTACCTCTGACTTGATTAATAGTCTTAAAATAATTGTTCATTAATCGCGTAAAAAAAATAACGTTAAACAAACCTTTGTCAGTAATCAGTAGTGTTATTATCCTAACAGGTAACTATAAGATAAAAATATATATTTACCGTTGGAATTTAGAAACTGAAAGGGCAAATATAGATATCTATCTGTATTGACGATACTACTAACTAAAATACAAGTAAAGGGTACAAGCGATACAGCAATGAACCGTTAACAGTTTGAAAATCCAACCCCTTCCTTTAATACTTTTTGTCGACCTAGTCATGCAAGAATAAAATACATGATTTGTAATCTATGTGTATATTTATAATTCTATGTACGCAATTTATTTTTCATTCTGTATCTACGCACAGCCAGCCTGTCGCAAAATAGTTAAACTTATAATAAATCATATTATTAGAACTATTGGAATATTTGTTTCAATTTCCAGTCATTTATGAATGATCATTAGCCGATTATTGTGTTTAGACATAAAAACTTTTGAGGATAATTTTAGTAAATAAAAAAAAAGGTACAAGCAACAACAGGATGCAAGATATTTTTTGATATTACTACTGTTTATTAAGTGAATTTTATCAATATTATTACCACATTAACCTTCAGCTTATTTTCACCTGATTATTTTCCATTTCTGATTTTAAGTTACTACCAACAAATATTTAGAGTACTATTTGGGAAAGTAGTTCCTATAACTTATAACAAATTATATCTTATGTTGTATAACTCATCGTTATAACATTATCATGTTCTATTACACTTATTATTAAATAACAAAAAATATATACTTGAAAGAGTATTAAATGGTAAAAACAATTTAATTTACTTATCACAATTATGCTTTTAACATCAAAAATTATTGTTATATTTATGTATGTACATGTAAATGATAAATGGTATCACTCATTGAAGATAATGTATTGCCACTGTTGTTATTCTATTATATTAGAATACAAAAATAAAAACACATTTTTTATTTTTAACGAAAAATAATTTGTTAAAATGTATAAATTAATAATTTTTAACATAATTTAATGTATACTATACACAAATACATTTTTACATAAAAATTTGGACACAAAAGAAAACAAGTTTGTATTGGTATAATAAATATAAACAAGTTAAAATATAATTTCATCAATAATATGTCTTAATAAATGCACACTTATATGAAAAATATTGCTCCTTATTAAATAACTCGTTAATACTAATAAATAATTAACATTTAAAAGATAATTATTATCACAACAATTGAATCACCAAATTGCATTAACACTATGTGCCTGTTGATACTGGTAATATACTACTCATTTTATTTTTTGTCATTTGAAGCTAACACAGGGTAAGCTAATGTAGTAGTCAGAGAATCATTATGCTCTTCTAAGGAAGTTTGAGAATAATGCATGACTAGATCTTTTAGAGAAGAATATATATTGTAAGGTTCAGCAAATCCAAATCCTTTTGGAGTTCTATATACTATACAATGATTGACAACTCCATTGCAAACTATAGATAATGCTGATTGCCCTGTACGACTGGGTCGTATCAAAAATGTTCCATTTCTCTTGCCATTTAACAGACGTTCGGCATCTGCACGTGAACAGGATTGAAGCAACCAAGTACCCTCATCTAAATGAGAGAGATTCAGAGGTAGCTGAATGTCTTCAGGTTTACATGTGTTCCAATCGGTGCCATTTAATACTCGATTAATTGCATCTAAAGCAACACCATGGGACAATAACCACTGAACTGATTTATGTTTTTGACGTGTGACTACTGCACCTTCTTGTTTTAACTGATACATTTCCCGCTCTAATGTCTGACTGTAAGCCACTTGTCTAAAAACAAAATAACTAATTAATATCAAATATCATATTATATATTTAAAATTAGACTTACGTGTATAATTTGTCTTCAAGTAGCGCTTTGCCATCTAGTAGTAACTTTATTCGTTTTTTTACTATTTCAATATTTTCAATTAGATTATCAGCTTCATGACGTTCAGCTTTTTTAAGAAATTTATCGTGTACTCTTAGCTGATCTTCAAACATTCTATTCACCTCTTGGTATTGTTGCAATCCCATACGCATCGCAGATATATCGGCCATTGCAGCCTGAAATTCTTTAGATAATTCTTCATATGAAATAGATTTTTTCAAAATATCTTTAAGCAAATCAATCAAACGCATCCATACAACGTCTACATTTAAACTTTTCCAAGTACCAAACTCTTCATCTTGTTGAAATCTGGACACAGGGTACAATAGTTTCACATCTAATGTTGCATTATATTGTGACAAAGAAACTTTACGATAATGATTCACAAGATCAATAACAGAAGAAAAATTGTAAGGTTCTGAAAAACCATATTTTCCATTTTTATGGTATATTTTTATTAATTTATTAGTTCCTCCTTTCCTTAATGTCAATGTATACTCTCCAGCCTTATTGGATGCATTTCGAACCAAAAACGTACCATCAGGCATATCAGTAAGTTTTTCTTGTACATCATCTCTGGTTATATCACCCCAATACCATTCTGCTTCTTCTATGCAACTGGGTTCTTGTAATGGATTTTGCAGTCTGGTCGAAATTGATTCGACAGATTGAGGGCGATTAGTTTGTGATAATTTACGAGGTGGTAAAGCCGGTGCGCCTGTTGGAGGCATGGTGCTCCATGACTCATGGGCTTTTACCATAATCTGTTACAATTAATTGTCAACGAACAGCAGGATTTCTGAAATAAAAAATGTATGAATAAATGTTTGATCAACAAATTGACATAAAATTATTGAAGTTTTATAAAAAAATACAGATATTAATATTATTTATAATATGACAAAAAAAATGAATTACCCTATCATTGTTTTAATATAATTGAATATAGATTAACCTCATATAAAAGTTTAGTTTTAGTTTAATTAACACTTACCAGGAGCGTTTATGCTTACTACATCGGCGTTAACTAAATGATTCATCAGTTTTTTTTTTTCAAAATGTAATAAGCAATTTCAAATTGCCATCAAATTCTAGAAAATTACACTTATAAAAAATATATATTATTTTTTAATTTATAGTTATATATTAAAAACTAATTTGATATTGATGTTTTCACACTTTTTTAAGAGAAATCACTTGAGTACACAACAAATAATGTAAATTAACAATAACAACAGTATAATAATAATAATAATAATAATAATAATTAAATTTTCAATATTTTTATTTTAGTATACATTTGTTTAGGTATAGCTAGGACAGTTAAAAAATTGTGTTTAGGTAATATAAAAATGTTAACAAAATTGAAGTTTTAGGTACATAGTACCGATGCATAAACAAAAACACTCCATTTTTAAAAGCGCCTTATACTTAATATATAATCTAAAAAAAAAAAAATTTGCCTGCAATATTATAACTATGAATCGGAAGTATATTTAAATACGATTCTTACTAGTAGTAGAAAAATTCTATCAGCTGGATGTCATTAATATTAACCAGAATATTAACTATGAAAATCAGAATACCTAGCTATGTAAAAACTTTATACTTTGTAGGATACTTTATTGAAAACATATACTTAGATTCAATCATTTTTATGAAAATAAAAAAAATATAATTAATTTGGTATCACACATTCTAATACAAGATTATGTTTTTCATCAATTAATGTTAATTTAAAACCATACATACATAAGTCACAATATTAAAATTAATTTATCATTAATCCTATTTAATAATTACACGACTATCAATAAATAGTCTAAAAGAATGGGAGATAATTCTATCTGTAGTTTATCGAAAAAAATACTTGTCTAGTCAAAATTAACTTCTCCTTCTTATTTCTTAGACCAAATAATTATCAAAATTAATTTCTATTGTAAGTAACTTATGAATATATATATAAAAATATTTTTTTTCTCAAACAAAATAAGACCTACACATTAATTATCATTGGAGTTAAATATATTATTACACTGAAATCACAGTTTTTTCTTGAAAGATACAATTTTAATCTGTATAATTTGAATTGTATTGCACAATGATATTTTAATAATCTAAGAAAATAATTAAATATAGGTAATTAATAAATG